GTTACAGATTTGACTGAAATACTGATCTTTTATGGTATAGTGATATCAAAAAATAGGGTTCCTTGGTGAGGGGGGAAAAGGGTACTGTAAGAAACACAAGTGTCTGTAATACTGTTTATCTAAAATGTGTTGAAAATTTTTCATGGAGTCACCACAAGAGCATATTTTACTGTTATATGACTTATTGTTTGTATTTTGAATTCAATTCAAAGTGTAAGGTGTGAATTTATAAGTCATAATAATAAAGTCTTTCAATTATGAGTCTGAAAACAAAGAAAACACAAAGACTTGGTCAGTTCAATTCTGACATGGGCTTAACCAGTTTTATTGCTCATCTTATCTCTGTACATCTATCACTACACACTATTCTATCTAGCAGATTTGACAAAATAGCTCTTTTTGTATATCTTCTTGTAACTTGAGAACCTACAGTCTTCCACAGTATATATTATACATACCTTACCATCTGTTACAGTGCTTGCTTGTTGGTCTGATTTCTTAGTTATAGCCCATGTTATAACTACACAGAAATCCATATAGTTGTCAGTGTAGAATTGTGTAACACAGCTTTTGCTACATGTACATTCTTTCAACGAAATACATTTCGTCACTACATCCTTTTATTTCACTTTGTATTAATTATACGCCTTGAAGTGGTCACATTACTTCTTACATTATTGTATTGCTCACTGCACTGATGCGATTCTAAATTTAAATCTTACAGTTTGGCCAGTACATGTATTTTGTTTCACTGAAACAATTGAATTACAACCCAAACAAAAGAACTCAATATGCTGTACTATATGTATATGTAACAGTTGACTTTCACCATTTACTAGTATGGTTTAATCTTGGCATGAAACTACAAAAATCCCTGCATAGGGTGTATATCATGTACAATGTGCACTGAGATACTTTCTGTCATGTAAAACCATGACAGCTAACGACAGCTACATGTAAGCACCCTTAACCAGATTTAAGGAACAATACTAGTCTTGCAGTAGATTTTGTGCAAATCATATGGAGTCCCACCATAGGTCTGACTAAAATGACTGAAAATTTGCGTGTGTCATTTCACTGGCCTTTTAAACTGGTGAAATTAAAGGCATCCAATGCAATTTCACGGCAGCAAAACACAAAATATTCTGGATGAGGAAATCTGTCTGATAATGACACTGCTATTTCTTAAAGCATTTTTGCCGAAAGTGTTTGAAATAGCCCCCAACAAGCTATGTGCATCTCCTTATTTTTTGGGTAACGCCAATAAATAACTAGAATCTGCCTATGGTACAAAACAAGCGACCGTTTTCCGTCAGTGACATCACATTTTTGCCTCAAATATCAGTATGCTATACATGTAGGATAGGATTGATTCAGATTAAAAGAATGAACAGAAAAGTTTTGCTGCCATTAAATTGCACTGGATTAGCCTGGTATCCAGCCTTGTTAGCTTTAGTCCGCTTCCCAAGATCCGCTATTGGCGGGGAGCGGATCTTGGGAAGCGGAATAAAGCTAACAAGGCTGGATACCAGGCTAGCACTGGATGCCTTTAAGAGTGATATCGCTTGATGTTACCAAGCCTGACAAAAGGTTTCGTACTTTAGTAGCTGCACGTTGAAACTTGGCAATGGTAAGGGGTGAACATACATACATGGAAGGCCAGCTCTCCTTGTCACTTATGTTTGTATGTACATGTATGGCTCCAAATCCAAATACCAACTGCATACACAGGTTAGTGCAGGTAAAATTGGACTTGTACAGGTATATCTGAAGTCTACCTGTGCCTAACCTGTACCAATCTGTAAGTCTACACAGATTTTAGTTTTCCTTTACTGTTTGCTATCAGAATGCTAACTGTGCAGGTGATTTTGCATATTACCAGTGCAGGTCTGCAGAAAAAGGTATTTTGAGCCCTGACATGTGAATGTGGAAGCACAGGCTATCATTTAACGATGGTCTCTTCAGCAGAGGTGACAGTTCCTACAGAGTCCAGGGACATACACTTACAGTGGCACGCTGTGACGGGACACTCTGTGTGGTCTCTGGAAACACAGCAATATAAACAATTATTCTGGCATTTCATAGACCAGGATTTTCCCCAAATTTAGTGGAAGATAGTATCGGGTATAGCCGGTATAACCGCCTTCAGTATAACACACCAGCTTAGTGCTGTAGTGTTATGAAGGGTGAAACTTACATGTACTTGTCCCAGGTATCATTGTTTAGTTCTTACATGTTCTCATTAGTCTTTTCCTTTCTTTGCTATAGCAAGGACATATGTTTTTCCTCACCTGAACCATTCCATCATGTGGTTGGCATGTCCTCCATGTCTGCAGGTCTGACACCAGGTGAACCAGCTCCCAAACTTGTTCTGTTTCGCTTCTTTGGTATAATCTGAGAAGAAACAGGATAAATCAATACCATTAGTTTTGTAGCAACTTTTCTAGCAATGTCTTTTCATTTGCTCCTGCATCAACAAAGTTAAAATGTACCATTAATGAAGATGAATAAGATTTCAGCATTGAATATATTCTAACGCTGAAGAAATTTGAGCCATAAGTTTTAATCAGTATTACATAAATTCTTATTGAACCACAACATTTCTCAAACCTCACCTTGCTTTTCTTCCTTGTTGGGTTTAGCAGCATTAGTGCCTGATGCAGTTCCCATGTTCATGAGACAAAGGGCGCACCTTGGCAGCGGTTTTCTGCACCCAGGACAGCTACTGATCTGTTGGACAGATGCCAATGTCGTTATCATCTTGAACAAGACAAAATATGTTAATACATTTGAAAGCTACATTTATGTCACAATAATGAACCTTTCATCCTCTCAAATTTGCTTGATTGTACTTGTTATCTCCACCCTCCTGCCACACTTTTGATGTTCTCTGCCATTTTAAGTAAAAATAAGTAACTTCTGAAAACATGTTTTCATGTCTAATTTATTATTACCTACCTTTGACTTCTGCGGGCTACCATACCGCATCTCCATTGGTCGTCCTCTTGTCCGTCCTAAAAGTATGTTGACAGAACAAATTTTCAATAAAACAAGACTGGAAATCATCAGGTGACAGTGACAGGGAACAGTATCTATCTTATATCTGTATCAAGCATTTTGTAGTTGATTCAGAACATGAAACCTTTTTTTTTTGCAAATAAAAAAAATGAAGCAGACAAATTAAACCAACTGCTTAAATTGATGTGGCCTAACAGTGAAATGTTTTTCTGCAGGAGTGTGTTGAGTAGTCATCAGACCTGATGCCAGCATGTTGGAGGACACAGACTTCCCGCAGAAGTTGCAGCTGACAAAGACTTGCTGCGGAGGTTTGACTGCGGGGTCGATCAGGTTCCTGTGGACGTCAAACTGCGCCCGCTGGTGCCAGAACCGCCACGAGTCCAGCAGGCTGCGGTAACTGGGGAGGTTGTCAGGAGGTTAGTAGAAAACCAAGATGGACATCATAACAATGGTGAAAGTGAAAATGATCTCACACTAGAAGACTGAAGAGCTACATTTTGTAACCTTTCACTGGTTGCAAGTGAAAAAATATGCATGTAGTACATGACAAATATTCTAAACCACACACATGTAACAAACAGAGTTTGCTACTCTTGGGAGCTTTTGAGATGTACTCTGTCTCTTCATCAACCCGGTAAAGTCAGATCTTGTCTTGGTGTCAAGGTACTGCATCGTCTGTGGATCTGGATCGACTCCTGAACACCCCTTGCAAATCTATCTTGGTTGCAGATTACACAACTTCATTGAGACAGAAAAATTTCCTTAGCAACAGACTGATGGCAAAAGCAAAGACAGATGATATATGCAGTATATATACAAAACATATAGCTTCATTGACTCTGAGAAATTCCCTAGCTCTTTTTAACCACAATGGACAGTGTCCCATCCTAAGAACTGCACATATCAAGTAGTGTGCAAGTCGGGTAAGTGAAAAGTCTAGGGATTCGAACCATCAATCATTGGTTCTTACACTACCTCTCTATCCACTGCTGTACGCGGCTGTCCTTAGACACCTCGCTGGGACAGGCCTGCACCATGGCCAGGCAGGCTGTCTGCACGTCCGCCGTGCTGTTCACGTAGTTCTCCAGCAGGTCAATCCCGTCCGTGGTCAGCCCGGTCAGCAGGATCCCCTCCAGGTTCCCCTTCTCTACCATCTCACTGGTCAGCTCATCTAAATACTCCACCAGCTGGGAAAAACAGGAACCTTATTGGTCATATTTATTCACACAAGGCCTAGGAAAATTACTGTTGTGTTTTGGGTTTCTTTCTGAAAAAAAAAATAGAAGCAGTAGGTAGGGATTTTCTTCTTCTTTTTTTTTTAAGTTCTTTTAGATATCGGCTAAAATGATCCAACAAATAAAGTTGAACAAGTTCAGGTCTGTATCAAGGACCCGCCCACCTGTTTGCTTGGGGGCAAATACTGCACCCGATTCTCCACAATCTCAGACTGTATTTCATCTAAATATTGCAACATTATTTTAATCAAATACTGTAGTGTTTAGATGCAAAATTGATCATCAGAAACAAATGACCTGTTTATACTCATAAAATACAGAAGTTACCAAGGAAACTGCAGAGGGAGACTCAGGGAACGAGTGGTGTGAGACCACACATTCCAGAGCTGCAGCTGACCATGATTGACACCTCTAACAGTGACTCACCTGTGAATCAGGGAGGAATGTGCAGGCAAAGGCCACTCTGTCCTGAATGAACAGGCCTGATTCATTCTGAAAGGACAAAGACAGTAGTTACGATCATTCCTCCCAACATTTCTTACTTTTCATACAAACAATTCAAAGCCAACAAATCTATTGCAGTCTCAAAAAACAGTAAGCACTTGCTTTCAATTCGTAAAAGATTCATACAATGTACATGTACGTCCCTCCTCATGTCTCTAAAGGAACTTTTTCAACATTTTGT